TATAGATATGTGAAAATCTCAAATAATTAATTTTTATTTCTATTATTTTCTAATTTTGACACGTCAATTATTTAGTTGTCAAAACTTATACTTGACTACCTATGACGATTTTAGAAGAATTGGATAGTCAATGACTAGCAATGAAACAAAATGTTAAAATTAATGACTAAAAGCAATAATTTTTTTTTGAATGACAGTGATTGCTATTCGTCGTCCTAAAAATCTTTATTCGTTACCCTAATTATATTAAATTTACTCTAATACCTTTAGTATTTTTTTTTTTTGTCTTTCAGTCTTAAACTCTAAAACAACACCATGTAGTAAAAAAAAAAACAATCACCACATACATTCACTCGGCATCGGTGCCGACCACCTCACCGGAGAAAAAAATATCAGTTTCGCCTATACGTCTTCGTCTTCCTTCTGGCGGCCGCCACCCAGCTTGCCGGCGATCGAGCCTCTTTCTCTCTCTCAGCTTAAGGGCAGCGCAAAATCCAACCTCGAAGCATCATCAAAAGCAACGAGTCGCACCTTCCCACCGAACTCGCCAGCGCATCCGTCCTGCTCAATCACGGGTAGAATCGAGAGCGAGAACTTGAAAGGGAAAGGATGAGCCAATTCTTTGAAATTTGTAGTTGTATTTGTGGAAATTTAGAAATTGGTTAGGGGGTTCTATCATCTATTATCAATTGGTTGATTTAACCTGTGTTGATCGAAATTGAGGGTTTATTCCTTACTCATTGGAGGAACTTAAGGTTATATCAGAAAATGCAATTGGAGTGTATGATAGGCGTGGTTATATTAGGTGGTATGTGCAGTCTTATTCCATCTGTTCAACTGCTAGATTTTTTCAATGTAAGGCGATCGAAGGGTCGGCGCCATATGGAGATAGAACGATGGTGGGTCAGGGAAATGAGAGTTGCAGCGAGTTTGGGGAACGACGGCGGTAGGACGACACTTAGGAATGGCAATGGGGCAGGTCCGGGGCGGGTTTCTTGGTACCCAGACCCGCTCCGTGGCAGGGCGGATCTAGGTTGGGTAATTGATCACGGGTCACGGGTCGGGGCAGGTCGACCCAATGGGTATGCAATTTATATGAAAAACATTAGAAATATTCGTTATTTTTATTATAAAACTAAGAAAACAAACAATATTATGACAATTGTAGCTAAATTATTGGAGAAACGGGTCAAACAGATCGGATAAAACGGGTCAAACAGATCGGGTAAAACGGGTCAGGTCGAAATTGTCATCCCTAACGACACTTGAAGTTAGAGATTAGGAAAATTGGAGTTAGGGTATAAACGTCAATTTAGTAGAGTTTAGAACAATTTCTTTTTAAAATTTACGATGACGAATAGCGATTCAGCATTTTAAAGGTATCCGATAAAATCATTATGGTTAATTAAATTTATTAACCTTTTGGCGGAAAAAACAGCCAAATTGGAGTAATATTCAAAATAATTAAATAAGTAATCAAATTAGAAGGGGCAGAGATGATAAATGAAAAATTACCAAAAAGAAAACACGAAACAAAACAAAAGAGAGCCAGAGAGAGAGAGAGAAAGAGAGGAGAGAACGCATTGGCAATTCGGCATGGGCAAACTGTCAACTGGACAAGTTTGTGACAGACAGGTTCATCCCTCCGCTGTGAAGACTGAAGACGTAGGAGACGAGAAGAAATAAAGAAGATAACCCCCACAAACAAACAAACTTCCAAAATTGTGTGAAGCCGTGAACGGATGAATGGTGGCGATTATGACTAAAATGCATTGAAAAGCGGGGAACAGGGAAACTTGCAGATTTCGTCTCTCTCTCTCTCTCTCCATCTCCATTGTCCAGCCAGCGCCATCAGTCCCAGATCTTTAGGCCCTTCCCACCCATCTCCCGACCTATATAAATAGCAGCAAACCGAAATAAATGGCCGCGCCATCTGTTATACCGGTTGGTTGTGGCTATTCCTCTCCTACCTTGTCCCGTCACGTTTCCAGGAATGGAGGAGCTTATTCACCTCTAGCTTCTTCGTCCTCCTCTTCTTTTCCGTCTTCTTGCTCCTCCTGCTCCTGTTCTTCCTCTCCGGGACTCAGCTTCTCTGCCGGTAAATTTTCTGGGTTTCCTTTCTCTGTCTTTAATTTGCTTTCGATCATGGTATAGTTTGTAAGTTTGCGTAGCAGATTGGCCTGGCGGGTAAGCTTTACCTCGCTGCCTGGTTGGATTTCTGGAGATGTTTGAAGTTTACCATGACGAATTTTGTGTTTCTGCCTTGAGAATTGGCTTTGCCGAGATTCATTATGTTTTGATCATAAGTTTCTAGATTGCTGTTGAAATGATGAAGCTTGTTAAAGATGGTAGTGATAGTGTGTTTCCTGCCGGCAAATTGTTGCAAGCTAGTTCAGGGTTAGGTCTGATGTGTAACTCGTATGACCAAGGATGGACGATTGGCCATGGACGAAAATGTTAGATTGATTGGCGTTGTTAAGGGTAAATGTATATAGCCGCTTGGAGAACCAGTCCCCTTAACCTAGCTTTTAAAACATTTTAAGATATATATGGCCTTGGGTTGATAAATAGCTAGAGCTTCTGATTACCAAGCTTTATTGCTTCCTATGGTTTTGTACAAAGGTGGTTGCTAAAGGAAGCTCAGAGGATCATGTAATTTGTTGGAACTTATTGGAACCGAAAAAGCATTATATCGTGTTCGTCGTTATGTTGCCATGGCATCAAGTTCCTCTAGCATACAGCTTGGACTATATAACTAGCCATCCTCCTTTGTTAATGAGGCTTGCTATTAGCTTTCAGATGATTTTCAGGAAGTGTTCTTCAGTTCTTGAAACATCAGACAATCTCTTGCAGGTGTAAATAGTAATTGGAAACATCAAGATTTTAGAGCCCAAGCAATGGATACGGCCTCTCAAGGAAGTTTTCAATCCTCCGATGTACTGACCAATGGAAGAAATGACCCTGATCATCTTCTTGTTCTTGTTCATGGCATCCTTGCTAGGTTTGTATCATCCAATTCCATTCACGATATGATTTCAGAAAGTTCAGAGATCGATTATAGTTTAACTTTTCTGCTGCTACAATTATTTGAGCAACTTACTGCACTGCGCACAGAAGCGACTAATTGATGCTTTTGGATTGACTATGATCAACAAAATTGCGTGACCTTAATCCTGCATTCTAAATAAGTTGATAAGCTTCATTTTCCATTGTGGACTATAAATATAAATAAGAATGTTTGTTTGCTTCTGCTGCAGCCCCAATGACTGGACTTATGTTCAAGCAGATTTGAAAAAGCGCCTTGGAAGAAATTTTATGTTATATGGTACGCTACTATCTCTCCTTTCTGTAACTTGTTCCGTGTGCTTGGAAAAGTTTTAGACACAATATAGTGGAAAGACAATATTTCCACTATGAACTGGTAATACGAATGGGCTGATGAGAAGGGCTCGGAAGCAGCAAGGTTTAATTAGATCTGTTCTTTCAAGTAGAACACAGTTCTCTTGGATAATTGGTTACAAGTTTGCTATATGGGAAGAATCTAATATCATGAGTGTCTGTTTGCAGCAAGTTCATCAAACACCTTCACAAAAACTTTTGGTGGCATAGATGAAGCTGGCAAACGACTAGCAGAAGAAGTAAGTTGTATTGCTCTAGTGGACATACAAGCAGCATCCACTAGTTACTTCTTTTTCTTTATGGATTTTGTGTATAGCAGGCAATCACCTGTATTGATCCTTGTAGATCTAATGTACAGGTCAAACAAGTTGTAAGCAAGACAGAGAGCCTGAGAAGGATTTCCTTTTTAGCTCATTCTCTTGGCGGTTTGTTTGCAAGATATGCGATTGCAGTCCTTTATTCAGAAAACACCGATAATCAGCTCAAACTTAATGACGATGTTGATTCTGCCACTCGTTCTCGAAAGGCAAGCTCTTCAAGAAGTGGTAGAATTGCTGGACTGGAGCCTGTCAATTTTATTACGTTAGCAACTCCTCATCTTGGAGTCAGAGGTAGAAACCAGGTTTGTTATATTGATGTCTATTTTTTGATCCAGTATGTTGTGGAGTAACTATCAAAATAATCAAGTTGAAAGATTTATTTGATAGTCACTTAGCAAACTTCCTTGATTCCGTATATTTGCTGGAAATAGCATTCTCTTACCTGTATCTGTGTAACGTATCTTAGGTTATGTGTGGGTGTACTGCTTTGATTGTAGTATATGCTTTTCTGCAGCTACCACTTCTCCTAGGAATTCCCTTCTTAGAGAAACTTGTTCCTCCAATCGCCCATATCTTTGTGGGCAAAACTGGTAAGGAGTTGTTTCTTACTGATGGCCAGCCCAACAAACCACCTCTGCTTCTAAGAATGACATCAGACTGTGAAGAAGGAAAATTTCTGTAAGTATAAATGAATAATAGAAGCATGCTTCCAGCAGAAATAACTTTACTCGAAGCAGTATTTCTTATTCGATTTCCATGTTTTTGGCTGCAGAGCTGCCCTTGGGGCATTCAGATGCCGCACAGTGTATGCAAATGTGTCTTATGACCGTATCCTATGCATCATATATAATTTTATAAGACATCTTGACTTTCTTCCTTCGCTGCGTGATTAGCTTCCTTGACACAACTAACCAAGACATGGTTGGGTGGCGCACTTCCTCCATTAGAAGAGAGACAGAACTAATGAACGTGAGGCTTGTTGCTTTAACTAAGCATCAGTTGTTCACAGGCAATTGACTAAAGGCATGTTTGGCTCTTTGCAGCCCCCTCGACGATCATTGGATGGTTACAAGCATGTTGTAGATGTCGAGTATTGCCCTCCAGTCTCTACCGACGGCCCCCATTTCCCTCCAGAAGCAGCAAAAGCCAAAGCAGCAGCACAGAATGATCCCAGCAACAAGAATACATCAGAGTATCATGAACTTATGGAAGGTAAAAAGAGAGAGACTTGACGCTTCCATCCTGTTCATCTTCTAACTCAACCATGACCTATCCCGGACTCTATGACTGGTGACATAACGGCATTCTTTCACATTTACATTTGTTTTCTTCTTTCCCCTGGTTGGCAGAGGAAATGATACACGGTCTGCAGCAGTTGGGATGGAAAAAGGTGGATGTCAGCTTTCACTCAGCATTCTGGCCATTCTTTGCGCACAACAACATACACGTACCGTTCCCTTCCCTCTCTTCCATTTATCGATTTTTTCTTTACCCGACTCCAGTTCATCTAACAACAGTTGGACGGTACTTTTGACAGGTGAAAAACGAATGGTTCCATAATGCCGGGGCTGGAGTTATCGCTCACGTTGCAGAAAGCCTGAAGCAGCAAGAACCCTCTTCGTCCCACTTAACTGCTAGCTTGTAATCTGTTGAAGTATGGAATGGAAGTCAAAGAGATGAAAACCTCTTTCTTCTACTAGCACTAGGGGTGGAATACCAGAATTCCCCATTATACGACTATAGGATGAGCGTAGTATATAGAATAGAAGCGTCAACATATCTAGAGATCCTAGTGCAGGGGAAGGATGTAACTATTTGGATACCCTGAAATCATTATCATTGATTTGCAGCAAAACCTATTTGCGTTGCAATTGCAACTGCAACATCTATTACCGAAAGCAAATACGTCGCTTTCTTGCTGCCATGATAGCTCTGGATGTGAGACGAGGGTCATGGGACGTCAATCAATAATGAACCACTTGCAGTGCTCTCACCCAACACAGCCTTAGTTATTATATGGCATTTATCGTCTACTTGAGTCGCATGCTTGCGTGGTACATGACCTCAATATTTGTTTCCTTTTCCGTTTTTGACTATTTGTTTTGTCACTACTCACTAACATGTGTACAAAGTAAACAAATAAAAATTGCCCCCGAAGATCAACTCCAATACACCACTCACAATTCGATATTTGGAAATTTAGGTGGAAGCGGGTGTAAAACCATATCGTATCAATCGGTCCGACTACAAATATTGGATATCGAATTTAAAATGGTAGTTGGTTTTAGCGGTAAGAAACAGTTGAATCACGGTTTGACTACAAAATATCTTGTTACTGATTTTTACAGCATGAGCTACAGTACGGTATTCACAAACCTTGGTTTTAATCAATGAAAAAAATATTCGGTCGCTGTTCGGAGGCTGATCGAGATGGTTTTGGTCTTGAAGTTGGTTCGATTAACCGAAAACCAAGATAACCGAAGTCTAAATCTCTATTTCGTTCGATTGTCGGTACGAGGGACAGACAGTTTGATTAATCGATACCGATCGATCAGTTACCAGTTATAACCGAAACTAACCGACGGTAGGGGTGGGTATTGGTTTGACCAAACCGCTCCAAATCGCCCCAAACCGCTTATGCGGTCAATCCAAACCGCATCATTAAACTAACGGTTTCATTTGCGGTCTGATCGTTAACCCTTGGCGGTTCACGGTTCGGATTGACCCAAACCGCTCGGTAGCGGTTTGAAACCACAATCCGCTAATTCCTAATCTAGGTCAAACGCCTCTTCTCACCACACAACACACGACAGCAGCTATCCTCTGGGCGACGCCGACACGGCGCCATCTTCTCTCCGGCGGCACCATCTTCTCTCCGGCAGCACCAGATCTGACCATTCTCTCATTCCGCCATCTTCTCTCCACGGCGCCATCTTCCCCAGCTTTGGCGGACTGTCAAATACACCAAGAGGCGGGAGATTTCTAGGATCGAAGGCATCTCGATCTTTCCTATTCTCGGAGCTCCGGTGCTTTGGCCGACTGTCAAAAACACCATTACCGGCGAGATCAGGTATGCTTTTCTCCTTTGGTTCTATATTTGAAGTTACGAATATAGGGCAGCTCTGTTCGAGCGATCTCCCAATTGCAATCTCTCCCCGGAGGCGATATCAAGCTCTTGTGCGATATTGTGGTTGAGTGCGTTCGAGAGCTCACAGGCTACGACAGAGTCATGGTGTACAAGTTCCACGAGGATGAGCATGGAGAAGTAGTGGCGGAGAACAAAAGAGCCGATTTGGAGCCTTACATGGGTTTGCACTACCCTGCCACTGATATCCCTCAAGCTTCCCGCTTCTTGTTCAGGCAGAATAGGGTTAGGATGATAGTCGATTGCCATGCTTCCCCAGTCCATGTGTTTCAGGATGAAGGGCTGATGCAGCCATTGTGCTTAGTGTTAATGACAGTTCAATGTTTTAACTGTTTTATTTCATATGCTTGCAGGGCAAAATGAAATCAAAAGGCTCGAAGGGAAAACGAGCTCAAGCACCGATATCTAGCAGCAATGTGCTTAATGTCAGTGAGGTGAGTGTAGATGCATACACTGTCAAGTAGGGGAATGGGTTTTATCATTTAGCATCTAATTTCGTGAATCTATTCCCTACTGTCAGTGTGACCTTTTCTGGACCTTGTGATGAATGCATGCTTTGATCTCTGTACTCTAGTGCTAGGTTACAAAACTGTCTAGCCCTGAAGTCCAAAGAGGAATGCTACATATTTATCAAAAGCATATAGCAGCAGCATAATCATTCATGTCCATATATTTTAGATAGATGGGGATAGTAGTGCACTTAGTACCTATGGCAGCAGCATATAGCAGCAGCATAACCCCTATGGCATCCCAGAGCTATTGTCAGAGGATGGGGATAGTAGTGCACTTAGTACCTCAAGGGGTATGTTCATATTTTTTTATTTAATAGTCATGAATTTCTTAAACAAAATCAGTTCTTTATCTGACACAATGCTACAGGTGCCTTGACTATGTGATTGCTACTGATACAACTGGAAATTTTATAAGATTGCTTGAGAAGACCATGTAAGAAACACCACAAAAGACAATCCAGTGTATAGGCAATTCGTATTTACTGGCTGGCTGCCCTGCCCACTTCTAATAGGAGCATAGATCCAAAATTTGATTTCAGGTCTGGACAAATGTTGATTAGGTTGAGTTAAAAAATAACAGTAAACTATCCCAGGTTGAGTTAAACATTACAGAAGAGGGCAGAGCAATCCTTTCCCCAAAAGCAGGACCACCCTTTTCTTGTTGCTGCCAAAAAAGCCTTCAATTTGGCGCATATCATATCTGTTATGTTCTGTACTGTTGTGCTTCAATTTGGAAGGGCTTTATAATTTTATTCTTTATGTTCTTATGCCCTGTTCTCATTTACTCTATTATTGTTTAGGCCGAGTGTGATGATGTTGGAATGGATTCCTCAAGTGGGGAAGAGATGGAAATCGAAAATGATGCAAGTACGAGCAAGGTTCTTTGATCTTTATTTATGGATAATCTGTTCTTTTAGGTTGATGGAAACTACACGGAAGCCGTCAAAGCTGAAGTACTTGTTTTGTTTGGATCGATTCCTGAACTTGACCCTAAGAATGTGGAGACTACAATTCAGAATGGCTGCTGAAGTTTTGGACAAGCCATGTTGGATCGCTGATGTTGACTTTTTCACAAGCAGAATAATGTCTTAGTTTCGTAAGGTTCAAATTGTAGTGTTGATGGTACATAGTTGAAGTTTCTGAGTTGTTGCCTTCGGTTTCACAGAACTATGTGGGCTTGATCTTCAAACTGGAATGTTTGCTGAGGTGGTCTTTCGTGATGAATTTTGTTTTAGTTGATGGGATATATAGTTGCAGCAGCTTTAATATATACTCCCTAATGTATGTATGCATAACCATATAGAGTTATTAACAGTTCCAGGAAAATTAGCTTTCAAGTGAGAAAATTAGCTTTCAAGTTCGAAGCTGTAAGCCTGTAAGGGCTGAGTCAATGCTGCTCCCTGTGAGCTGGTGACAGGATGGGGAAGAGAAACCTTCATCTTTGCGGGGGCTATTGTCATATGAATTGTTAAATGCAGCAGAGAGCTTTGTCTCGACATTATTAACATCACCAACCAGTTGAAAGCAGTTGGTTCAGTAAATAAGAGAAGAAACCATCTTTTCTGTATTCGTTCGTGATTTTTTCCTGCTTGATACAGAGCAGGGAAAAATGATGCTAAGGTGGCCAGGTTGATTCGATGGTGTCTTACTTTTGCTTGTGATATGCACATGTGCCTTCGAAACAGATTGTTCTTCATTTAACAGAATAGAATGAAACCTTCATCAACAGTTGCTTCATATCTCATTCCATTTGCAACTACTCTCCCATTCTTGCAGCGTCGAAACTCCAAGGCTTGATTCTTTGGCAGGACATGGAGGGTGCTGAAAAATGTGTGTGCAATGCAAGGTCTTTACGCAAGTTTGAGACTTTCCTGCTGGGGAAGGACCTGGTTCTGAAAATATGGGTTGTCCTCTTAAGTAACAGCACTAAAGGTATTGCGGTCAAGATGCGGTGCGGTTTAAACCGTATCAAACCGTTAATTTATGCGGTTTGGTTTGACCGCACCGATAACTTAGCGGTCTCAATGCGGTGCGGTTTATATCAATGCGGTGCGGTGCGGTTTATATCATTGCGGTGCGATGCGGTCCGAACCGCACCGATACCCACCCCTAACCGACGGCCAGCCTATCTGAATATGCGGGTATTCAATAATAAATCTGCAAATTGGGAAGCGAAGCGAGGAAGTTCGCTGTATTGTTGAGCATAAGGAATCCTATGGATACATGGAGAGTTTTTTTTTCCCCATAATAATAATTATTATTCCACTCGTACATATATCTGCAAATTAATTTCGTCCTTTTTGGTATTTCATTTTCCCTGTACTTTCTCCAAATAGTGGCTCGTTTAGGGAACTAAAGGCCACTTTGAATTTTTGATGCTTACAATGTCGTTCTTCCTTTTTCTATGATAATTTTGAAAAGGACAGATGATCATTCTTTGACATTTTCCTTCGCATTAGAGAAAGCTAGCTGTACACATTGAAAGCCACGACATTCGGCGATATCATTATTGCCATTGGGCGTGCTATATTACTTTTCTCCATTAATTTGTTCTTTTTAATTCTTGCCTCTCTTTTGTAAGTTCAGATTATTATAAGGTTTCTAAGAACAAAAAAATTATTATAAGGTTTCTAAGAACAAAAAAATTATTATAAGAGTTGCAGACTTGCAATGACCTCCAAATCCTGTTTAGTTTTATTTGAATGAAAATATAATCTTTTCTAATAAGAAATTATAAGAAGAAATCACTGATAACTAGTTTTGATTTTTATTCTCTCTTTAATTTTGATTTATTACAGGCCATGTTGACAATCACCAGAGTCCACCCTCTTTTCGGTACTTAATATTTTCCACGACGGGAGCAGGAGGGCGACAGCGACGCCGTTTGGCACTGCACGTGTTTCCCACGGTTCAGAACGCGAGTGGAGTAGCGCCTACTGCCACTGGGCCGGCGTCTCCCGCGGACCCGGGCCATTCTCCTCGGGTCGCGACTCCGTGTCTCATTCTTCGTCCTATTTCTTCTTACAATCAGCCCCTCTTTCTAGAGAGAGAAAAACAAAGCAGCAAAGCGAGCGAGGGGGAATCTAGAGCGAGAAAAGGAGAGTGAAGTCTCTGCACCTCTAGCTGATCCTTTCCTCCCCGGGAGAACACAGATCGATCATGGCGGCCACCAATGAACGAGACAGCTGCGTCTACACAGCAAAACTCGCTGAGCAAGCTGAGCGCTATGAAGGTATACTTATTGATTCTTCTCCCTTCACGTTCCATCTTTCCCCCCTCAAATGTCCTGTATTTCCGTTTGGTTGCCGAGAAAGATTTGAGCAGGTGGAAGTATGGCGAGTGGATATCACGATTCTGCGTTTAATCGTTTCGTTACTTTGTGTTCCCGTTCGCCTTGGACTGAGATTTAGAGGAAACGAACTAGCAGTATGATTCTTCAGTTCTTTCGCAAGATTCTTGACCACTTTGTCACCGTTCATACTGCCTGAATAATGCTGGATCGCTTCTCTTTTTGATAGTATACCTCCGTAGAAATCGTAGTTATCTTGAATGAGCGATTTGTCTCTACGCTGTGAGTGCCCATGAGTGAATCGGGTGAACTAATAAGCCGTTGACGAGAAGCGAGTGTGTTCGATATTATTGTCCTAATTCGTTGATAAAAGTTTGAGCAATCAAACGAGGCCTTACACCTAGGGTTTTGACTTTCTAACGAGCACTGTTTTGTGTGTTCCCGATCTCTGTAGAAATGGTCGATGCAATGAAGAAATTGGCCACGCTGAACGTAGAGCTGACTATAGAGGAGAGGAACCTACTCTCTGTTGGATACAAGAATGTGATTGGTGCTAGGAGAGCATCGTGGAGGATACTGTCATCCATTGAACAGAAAGAGGAAGGGAAAGGGAATGATCAGAACGTGAAGCGGATCAAAGGGTACAGACAGAAGGTCGAGACTGAGCTGTCCGATATTTGCACCGATGTGATGACTGTGATTGATGAACATCTGATTCCTTCTTGCTCTGGTGCAGAATCCACTGTCTTTTTCTACAAGATGTGAGTTCCTTTTCAATCTGTGTGGATGTTTTAGCATTGATTCATCCTCAAAGGCAAAATTTCTTTTTCTGAAACTAAGTCTTATTTCTTTGTGTAGTCTATAATGTTTACCTTTTTCTCGTATTTGCTCAATGGTTATTGTGATGCACCTTTTTTGTTTATAGTTTCCTACTTTGATGGGCTTTTTGTGTCACAGAGGTTTTGTAACAACATCGTATGCTATAGTTCATACTTTGATGGGCTTTTATGTTGCTTGCTGCAGGAAAGGAGATTATTACCGGTACCTAGCAGAATTTAAGGCCGGTGATGAGAGGAAAGAGGTTGCTGATCAGTCCATGAAGGCATATCAGGTTTGATCTCTTACTGATAGATCTCCACTGTAGTTACATGCTTGTTTGCTTACCAAGACTCTAAAACTCTAATTTTATCTCTCCATTGCCTTATTTCCCGTTGCAGGCGGCTTCTACTGCTGCAGAGGCTGATCTGCCTCCTACACACCCCATCAGGCTGGGTTTGGCCTTGAACTATTCAGTGTTTTACTATGAAATTCTCAACTCTCCTGAAAGGTTTGCCTCGACCTACTCAGCATTTTACTACAAAAATGTCTTGGGGTGCTTAGTATTTTCTTTCTTTTGGTAGCAAAATTTTTGGAACTTCCTCATGATAATATCTTACTTTTTTCCAGGGCTTGTCACCTCGCAAAGCAAGCTTTTGATGAAGCAATCCATGAACTGGACACTCTCAGCGAGGAATCTTACAAGGATAGCACATTGATCATGCAGCTCTTAAGGGATAACCTGACTTTGTGGACTTCTGACATCCCAGACGATGGTGGTAAGCTGTCTGCTTTCTGCTGTTAAATTTGTCGGCCTCTGCCTCATTAGCACAGTGGAACCATTTCCGCTCCTCATTGTGTTGGCTCTTAAATTCTTTGCAATACCATTGCAATCAATCGGTTGTCTATCTAATACACACTGAATGTAAGCTCATGGATATAGCTAGTAAACTTGCTAAGTACCTAGCTGCCTCCTTAAAAGAATATCCCTGTTCTTTATTGAACATGTTTTGTGGGTGATTTGTTTGTGTTAATGTTGGTCTTACTGATGGCAGAAGAAGGTAAGCTCGAAAAGGGCGGTGGGGGTGAAGATGCTGAGGTTAGTTATCTGTTGAGCTCGTGATGATCGATTTCTTTCCCTTTCCATTAGCATGTCAAACATTTCATTCTCATTGCTATCATGTTGTCCCTTCCTTTGCAGTGAGAGAAGTAAATGGATGGAGGAGCTGGGGTAGTGCGCGGTGTTGGCCATCATATGACTTGGGAGAATGGTTTGTGTCCCTTGTGTGGGTGTTGTTAGTAGTCTGTAGCTCGATTATTCTTTGTTTCTAGAGAAATTGAAGTTCCAAAAGTTTGCACTTTTTTTTCTGTATTTTCTTCTTAATGCTTGGTTTGATGTGTGGGGAGGGGACTACTACTACTCTTTAGGGTTTTAAGCAGCAGCAGCAATTGCTTCTTGTTAAATGCCATTAATTAACCAACTAAAAGATTTGTGTCCAGTTGCTGAAAGTATATTTCTTGTCCTGATTGCTAATTTTAGCATCTACAGTTCTTCTTCTCATTCTCAAACATCCAAACGGATTGTGTATTAGGAAGAATTGTTTTAAAAAGGAAGAAAGAGAGAAGAGCGGGTCAAAATGTTTTACAACCACAGATGAAAAAAAGTTTGTAAGCCAGTGTCTGTAATTTCCTTGTCCTTATATAAACGGAAGCCTCTTCTTCCATCCCAAACAGCCAAGATAATATAATACAATACTTGAACAAAACAATGGAGAAGGTTTTCATTGTAGCATCAGCCCTGATCTGCTTGTTAGGCCTGCTGGGCACGGGCACTGCCGATACCTTCACCGTGGAAGGCAAGGTCTACTGCGACACCTGCCGCACCCAGTTCATCACCAGGATCACCGAGTTCATGCCAGATGCAGTGGTGCGGCTGGAGTGCAAGGATCGCGAGGGCGGGTCGATCACCTTCAGCGCGGACGCGATCTCCGACACGCACGGTGTGTACCACATTCCGGTGCAGGGAGACCACGAGGACGAGATCTGCGAGGTGTTCTTGGTGAAGTCCCCCAGGCCAGACTGCAGCGGGATCCCCAAGCCGGAGAAGAACAAGGAGGATTCGGCCAGGGTCAGCATCACCAAGAACAACGGCATGATCTCCGGGGTCAGGAGGGTCAGCCCCATGGGCTTCTTGATCACCAAGGCTAAGCCCGAGTGCGCGGAGGTCCTCAGGGAACTTGGCATCACCCCTCAAGGCCTCGTCCCATAACTACCTAGTCCATTCCATTAACAAGTAAATCTAAAACTTACGTTACGTATGACGCCAAAACCAAAATGGCTAAAACACACAACCTTTCTTCATTCAATTTCATGTTTCATTTCTGTTTTTATTCGTCGTGATTAAATGTGTTTGTACAAGGAGGATCTGGTATGGTTAATTTCACCGCTGCCTCTCTCAATTACGTACTCTGGATTCATCTCCCTAGTATATATATTCATTCATTCATAAGGAAATTCTTGCTTCTTGTGATGATGACGACGAAGGTGTAAGGAAGTGGTTAAGTGCCATACACGGGCCTGTATAAGATCCAGCATAACCTTCTAATCTAGCCAAATGGTCGTGTGTTCGAATCTTCATGACTCCCAATATTAACAGTTGATTAAGGAACAAGGTATGGTGGGCCTGTGCAAACTTCAAGCCCATGGGTTGGCTTTCGTTTGAGGGGGCCTGTTAGAGAGTAGTATAAGATCCAGCAGAACTTTCTCCCAACAACTCGAGTTATTGGGAGCAACAGGTTTATGACATGGTATCAGAGTCTGGTTTGTCCTTGAGGTCACGTGTTCAAGTCCTCACGACCCCCAATATTAACTGTTGTCTTTCAAGCACATGGTATGGCGGACCTGTGCAAACTTCAAGCCCATGAGTCGGCTTTCGTTTGAGGGGGCGTGTAAGGAAAGCATAACCTTCTCCCAACAACTCGAGTTATTGGGATCAACTGGTTCTTGACATGGTATCAGAGCCTTCTGTGACCGAGAGGTCTTGTCTTCGATTCCCGGTGACCCCCATTCGTTAAGCACATGGTATTCTTGTCTTCAGACCTGTGCAAACTTCAAGCCCTTGTGAGTGGCTTTCCTTAGAGGGGGCGTGTTAGTGTTGTGGTATATGATCCAAGAAGCAACGCACTGTTGCCCGCTCTAGCACTGAGGCTGAATATCGTGCTCTTGCACTGGCTGCCTCTGAGACTGTCTGGCTTCAGAATCTACTCACCGAACTTCATTACACTCTCCCTCAGGCACCGACCATCTTCTGTGATAATCTGGGGGCGATTCACTTCAGCTCCAATCCCGTTTTCCATTCTCGTATGAAGCATCTTGCTCTCGACTATCATTTTGTGAGACAACTGGTCACTTCGAAGGCTCTTCACCTCCGTCACGTGCCTACTGCATCTCAGTTAGCTGATGTTCTCACCAAAGCACTTCCCTCTACTCGATTTTGTCTGTTGCGTTCCAAGATTGGTCTTGCTGACGCGTCGTCCATCTTGCGGGGGCGTATTAGGGAGAATTCCCGATAGTTGTTGTATTACTTGTCCAACAAGTTATCCTTCTCCTACTTGTACTTGTATTCTACAACTCTGTACACATGTATAAATATTTGTCTCCTCAATAATACAATATACAGCTCATTGCAAACCTTACATGGTATCAGAGCCTTCTGTGACCGAGAGGTCTTGTGTTCGATTCCCGGTGACCCCCATTTGTTAAGCACATGGTATTCTTGTCTTCAGACCTGTGCAAACTTCAAGCCCTTGTGAGTGGCTTTCGTTTGAGGGGGCGTGTTAGTGTTGTGGTATATGATCCACGATTGAACCTCTCCCAACAATTCGAGTTATTTGGACCAACTGGTTTATGACACGGTATCAGAGCCTTCTATAACCGAGAGGTCTTGTGTTCAATTCACGGTGACCCCCATTTGTTAAGCACATCGTATTCTTGTCTTCAGACCTGTGCAAACTTCAAGTTCTTGTGAGTGGCTTTCGTTTGAGGGGGCGTGTTAGTGTTGCGGTATATGATCCACGATTGAACCTCTTCCAACAGCTCGAGTTATTGGGATCAACTGGTTCTTGACATGGTATCAGAGCTGGTTTGTCCTTGAGGTCACGTGTTCAAGTCCTCATGACCCCCAATATTAACCGTTGTCTTCAAGCACATGGTATGGCGGGCCTGTGCAAACTTCAAGCCCATGAGTCGGCTTTCGTTTGAGGGGGCGTGTAAGGAAGTGGTTAAGTGCCATACACGGGCCTGTATAAGATCCAGCATAACCTTCTCCCAACAACTCGAGTTATTGGGAGCAACTGGTTCTTGACATGGTATCAGAGCCTCGAACCGAAAGGTCATGTGTTCGAATCTCCACGACCCCCAATATTAACAGTTGTCTTTCAAGCACATGGTATGGTGGGCCTGTGCAAACTTCAAGCCCGTGGGTTAGCTTTCGTTTGAGGGGGCGTGTTAGAGAGTGGTATAAGATCCACGATTGAACCTCTCCCAACAACTCGAGTTATTGGGATCAACTGGTTCTTGACAGAAGGCGGTGAAGATGTGATCATTGTTATTGAATCAAATTAGATTTGAGTCATCGACACACACTAACAAAAATTGCAGTTTGTTTTCATTAACATTTTCGATATCAGCTCATCATGATGAACTCATTCAGAACCTGTTCATAATTTCAAAAAACTTCATTTCGTAATATCCTAACTCTAAGAACGTTGAATCGCCATTGCTTCTTTGAATGAAGGATGTTGTATTGAACCACTAAATGGTAGTGGCATGTCAATGAAGGATGTTGTTCCCCCACTCTTTTCACGATATAAAGATACACAAGGAAAAATGGGCTGGTCAATGAATTCACTTAGGGGTCGTTTGGAAGTTGTGATTGTTAGAGTAGTGTTTGTTGAATACATGTATTGTGCACAGTACAATGTTTGGAAGTGCCAAAATGTAAAACAATGCATAGGTAGGTCCCACCAACAATCACAAAAAATGATGCATTATACAATCTCAACTAAAAGTTGAGATTGTTGTGATTGTTGATTTTAGATTTGTGTCAACTTTTTCTTATTTATATCCCTAATAGTTTTTGTCTTATTCTAAAAGTTGAGGGTAAATGTGACATTTTTCCATAAAAGTAATTTATGTAAATTAATGCATAAAGTAGAATCTCAACAACCAAACATTGTATTGTTAAAATGCATCCATTGTATCAATACATGCATAATGCATTTATATTATGGTGATTCATTACAATGCAACGATTTAACATTCGCAACTTCCAAACAACCCTAGATCACGATTTTGAGTTAGAGTGCAACAAATACAGTGATAAATTATTAACTAACGAGCAAGCTCCACTACAATAAGTAGAAATCATATATGTGGTCAAGACAATCAACCACCATGTCATGTATTCTCAAGCATTTACAAATTATTTTACCTCATGCCATTTAATATCGGGAGCCTGGAGGTAAAAAAAGGCCTAATGGGAGAATGGGCTTTCGTAGCCCAATTTATGAGCCCAATGTTTGTATAGCCCCAAAACGATGTGTAACTGCCTAAACCAAATAAAAGAAGAGAGAATTCTAATTCCAAAGACCGCTTCCAGTCCCCAGGCCCCAGCTATTTGCCGTTAGCCACGCGTCAAGCATCCCGCGTCGATAGGAAATAATTGAACGGCAGCGATCATTCAAGAAACAGACGATTAAAGCAGCCTAAGCTCGAACAGAAGCCGTTAAGCTATTATAAAGGGTGGGCCAATCGATATTCAGTTTTTTTTTTTCACATTCACCAATCCATCTCTCCGGTTTACGATTGGGTTAATTCTCTAAATACAGATAAAATTAAACCAAATTCCTAAACTACCACACTTTTAAAAAAAATTCCCAAAATACCTAAGTTTGGAGTGGTTCGAGTTTGAGGAACTCGAACTACTAACCGGTTCGAGTTTAGGAGACTCGATCTAGTCGTAGATTGATGATATAAGCCTCGAACCATGTGGAGCTGAAGTGGTTCGAGTTCAGTGGACTCGAACCACTCCTTTGAAATTTCCAACAACCTTAACTTTGTGCTCGGTTATCCGATCGTAGCAAACTTTTTTTCATTTCGCATAACTTTTTGAGGACTACAACTTTTATAATAGAAATATTTTCAAATATATGTGAAAAGTGAAAAATAAAGTTAAATGTACTCCCAAACCACCTTATATTAAAAACTATTCCTATTTTGAAAATTTATTCCTAGTAAATGTTGTAGTACTCAAAAAATTATGCAAAACAAAAAAAAACTTTGCGACGTTCGGATTGCGGAGCACAAAATTATGATCCTCCAAAGTTTGACAAATTCGAAAATTTGCTCGTTTATGGGTAGCAAATGACGTTTTCTAGGAAGATAGCCATCCAAAAAATTTCTCGTTTGGAAAAATATTGCTCTTTTGGCAGAAATTCCCTATATATAAAAAATTTCCCGTGCATTCGCCCCGAGAAAATGTCATTTGTTACCCCTAAATGAGCAAATTTTCAATTTTGCCAAACTTTGGAGGATCATAACTTTGTGCTCCGCAATCCGAACGTCGCAAAGTTTTTTTTGTTTTGCATAATTTTTTGAGTACTACAACATTTACTGGAATAAATTTTCAAAATAGGAATAGTTTTAATATAAGGTGGTTTGGGAGTACATTTAACTTTATTTTTCACTTTTTACATATATTTTGAAAATATTTCTATTATAAAAGTTGTAGTCCTCGAAAAGTTATGCGAAATGAAAAAAAGTTTGCTACGATCGGATAACCGAGCACAAAGTTAAGGTTGTTGGAAATTTCAATGGAGTGGTTCGAGTCCACTGAACTCGAACCACTTCAGCTCCACATGGTTCGAGGCTTATATCATCGATCTACGACTAGATCGAGTCTCCTAAACTCGAACCGGTTAGTAGTTCGAGTTCCTCAAACTCGAACCACTCCAAACTTAGGTATTTTGGGAATTTTTTTTAAAAGTGTGGTAGTTTAGGAATTTGGTTTAATTTTATCTGTATTTAGGGAATTAATCCTTTACGATTCCCCTCAATTCAAAGAAGAAACAAGAAAAAGGAAAAAAGAAAAACCTCTGAGAAATTGTCCCTGCTCTGCTCCTCCCCACCAGTCCAAAGAAGGCATGTGCTACGCCTTGAACGAGACGGTGGAGATTTGCAAGAAGGCGGAGCGCTTCGCCGGGGCGTACTACAGAGCCACCGTGGCCGCCGCCATCGGATACACGCGCTACCTTGTCCGGTACGAAACCCGCTACTCCCTCAAGACCGACACCGACACAGTGTACCTGATGGAGGCCGTCGACCCCGACGAGATGCGCCCATTGCCGCCCCAATTCTCCTACGAGAACCGCAAGCTCAACGACCGGGTCGACGCATTCATCGACGGCGCCTGGCGGGTCGGCAGAGTCACCCGCTTCGTCGACCCCAATTTCTACGTCCGGCTCGATCACGACGCCCGCCGGGTGGAGCATCATTGCCCCTTCTACAAAGTCCGCCTCCATCTCGAGTGGCGAAACGAACAGTGGTTCTACTGCCACGACGACTGGTACGCCTGCCCAATTGAATCAATTAATCAACCCCCCCCCCCTAATCTAATGATTAGCGAATTGATTAGAATGGATTCTTGCATTGATCATCTGCCTTTGATTTGAGCGATTGGGGATTGGAATTTTGGGGGGAAGGATAATTATTAGTCAATTCTTGGTCAGTTCTTTAGGGAGCCATTGGCATTTGGCATGGGCATGGGCGTGGCGCTTGTTAGTTTCCCAGTTGACCAGTAGTTTACTTTGTTTCTTTTTTTTTTTCTTTTCCTGCCGAGGGAGTCCGTCAGTCAGGGTACAGAAACCAGAAAAGGTCGAGTCAGATCAGAACCCTCGAAGGACGGGTCGTTAGCCCGCCTGCCTCGAGACTCGAGACTCTAACTTTCTGTTAAGAAGGGCCCAAATCTTTGATTTGAGGTCCAGCCCAGTTTCGGAGCTGATGGGCTAATTTCATTGTGTGTTTTTTCAAATATCGGGGCAGGCCTCAGGTCCAGAATCAGAATCAGGATGGGAATCCGGATCCGCCACAGGCTGACCAGAGTCAAAATAAAAATCAGGGTGGGAATCCAGAACACGAGCAGATTCAGGATCGGACAGATGAAATGTTCCGCTCTGCAGTGGGCCTGCCGGACTATATGATTGGGGGGAGTCTGGATGAGCTTCGCGATCCATCTGGATCTGATGGCGAGGAAGGAAAAAAGCAGCAGGCCCACTGACTAACAGAAGGCACATCCGAGGGGTACATATGGGGCTAGTATGAGATAGGGCCCAATTAGATAGATATGAGGAATTTGGTATATAGCTGTAGTATAGCTCCATCTCCTCATGCCATGTGGGGTTTTTGGTATTGATGGTGATGATTCTGTTTTTTTTTGTTTGTTCTGGGAGCATATAATTCCACATCTACACTTTTTGAGAGCAACAATGTTCAATATACAAAAAAGAAAACTTCTTTTCCAGGTAGTTGAGAGATTGGAATGAGATGTCTAGCTAGCTTATCATCTAGAAGAATAATGTTTCCTTATTGTACAGTTTCTCTTTCTTTGCCTTTTCTTGTAGGTTTTATGTCCAATTCATTGAATGTTTGCATCTGCTTCGAATACGATTCTTTTTTTGTTGCATCTAATTCTGTAATTAGAAGAGAAGGGACAAGAAGCTTTTGGGAAAATTAATAATAAGAAGAAGAGCGAGGTTTGGTTGGGAATTAGATGGTACACGGCAACTCTTCTGTCTTTATAAACTAACTAACTAATAGCAGGGGGATGATTAGTAGGATAATTGGAGTTGAATGTTTCAAATTTGTTTAATTTCCCTAACATTATTATTGCTTTTCATTTGTTTTTAATAATAATGATAATGAAGTCTTACTCGAAGACTTTGTCGCTCATTTGTTGTTGGTGAGCAGGGGAAATTAAGGGGAACCCAACCTCTCAATTGTAAAATATACATATAGGGATAACAAATGATATCATAACGTGCAAGCTTTTTTATTTATAAAAAGGGTATAATGAGCTTGAACTGAAGATGTTTTTTTCCCCTTTTTCGGTCTGAACGCACTGGTTGTATGCTTTTTCAGTTAAACTTTTTGCGCCGTGGAATATGGAAATGTCACATTTTTTTTCTTCTTCCATGACTTATTAATTTTTTGTTTCCAACCAAAAAATATTCTTCTGTTTCCGTTTGATTTGCAGGAGTCAAGTGTCCATCCTATGAACACTTGTCCGTCCCTACTGTTAGAAGGAAAACTTCTCCTAGTCACCAACAGGACAAAAAACTTGAATATAATAATTCTTTGCTTTCATGGATTTTTCAGATATTTGTGTGCGTTATAGATAAATTCGAACAAGTTGTAAACTGGAAATTGTGAATTGTTCATTTTAACAAGTTTTTATGTACTTTATGAGAGTTGTGATAGAGTTGCTCATATGTATAAAATTGAGATGAATATAACGCTTTATTCTATTAAAGTTTTGGAGCATATTGAGATTGGTGTCACTCCCAGATAGGATTAGGAAGGCAAGAGGCCATCGCTGGATAAAAGAAAATGGAAATTTAGTTTGGTTTGGTTGACAAGAGATGGTAGAAAGGGAATTGCAGCCTAATAGGTCTTTCTGTCATATTTACACTTTATAGTATTCGCGTTCATATTAAACATCAAGTTTTTCTAATAAAGAAAAAAAACATAGAAACAAACAGTCCTCTTCTTTGATTTTCTTGGTATCATTTTCTTCATAAACGCCAAAATATGGTTGAAAACTTGAAGCCCAGAAAAGGAAGGAAGGGCTCCTTTGTATATATTTGTACGTAACCCACTTGGTTAGATTAGAGAAACGCTCCCAACTTTTATCGTTGATCACTTAAGCCTTTTTTGTAGTGTGTACAACTGTACATATACATAAAGACAAACGATCGAGTACGTACAAAAACAAAAGTTGATTAGTAGTCTGTCAAGAATTTTACACAACCTGCTCAGCTTTGTTAACTCCTTATTAATTACTGATAAATAAAATCTTACCTCTTACCAAGTCTCCATCAAAGTGCGAAGTTCAAACTCCGATCCCACATCGTTTATCCTACTAAGATTTCGTTGCAGTAAAGGGTTTGAAGCGTAGATTTATCAAAATTTTCATAATAAGAGAGTATCTACATCTTCATTTATGAAAATATTTTTTCCTATTTTATCCGTTTGTTTACTTATTCCACTAAATATAAAATAAATTATCAATATTTTTTTGAGCCCCTCTGATTTTTTATTTTTATTGAATGTAACAATCGCAACTACCAAACAATCATACTTTCATTTTTTACCAACAATTGGTATAGCTAGAATCTTTTAATTGTTTGTAATCTAAAGATTTAGACTTAATTTAAGTTCGTGATTCTGAACTTTAAATTCAAAATTTAAACTCTCATTTTCTGCCTTCTACATTCATATTGAGAGCTGATAAAATAGTGAAAAAATGTCATCATAGTTATCATCACTGCCAGCTTAATTTCGTTGTGATTTGGCTGATTAATTAGGTATATCTAATACGAAACAGAACAAACTTGGATATGGTTAGATTTGTACATCTTTTATAATAATTTGATTAATTTCTTTCCGATATACATGTGATTATGATATGATCACATACATAATAATTTCTAAGCGGAGAATTCAAAGAGAGCGAGGGAGGAAGGAGGGGGGCAAAAAGGGGAATCAATAATTAGTAAGAAACCAAAAACTAGCTAATTTACACACGGTTGACCACCTGAGCCGCACCGCCGCCGCTTGATCGGGAAAACATCCCGAAACCCACCAGCCGCCGCCGCCAATTGCCACTCCTCCACCACCGCCTGAAACGGATGATGAACCCCGCCGGCGGGAGGACTGATCCGGGCGCCGGGGGGCTTGTTCTTGCGGCGCCCGGCGCCGACGGGAACGTTGCGGAGGGCCCCGCCGGCTGTCCAGTAGCGCTGGCAGCCTTTGCAGAAGTGGCGGGGCTGGTTGACATTGTAGTTGTTGAAGTAGCAGAATTTGGTCTCGAGGCTCTTGCACCTAGGGCACGGGATTATCTTGTCTGGCTTCTTGTCCAAGCTCGGCGAATCGCCGTCGCCGTCGCTGCCGCCGTCATCGTGATCCTCCTTTTCGTCGCCGACGTGATGGCTCTCTTCCTTGATGGTTGCTTTTACCGCCGGCACGGCGATGGTCTTTCCAAACAACTTGATCCCCTCTTCTTGGCTAGCCATGTGTTTTGTTGTTTCCTTTTGGAGTTGGGGTTTGGTTATATGGTTTTGTACATGGAAGAGCAAATGGAAGGAAGAGTGAGATGTGTATATATATAGTGAGAGGGAAAAAGGTTGTGTGGAAAAGGAGGGGAGGAGTAGTTTAAGAACATAAGGAGGAGGGAGTTAGCTTTGTTTTTATTCTTTTATTTTGAAAATAAGAAATGTATATTGTTTTGATATTACTAATATTAAGGAAGTAAGGATTTTATTTCTTTATTTAATTTATTGAGAAGGGTTCATGACTAGTTGTTACTTGTTATACAATTTTCTTATAGCTTCCATGATTCAAGCTCAAAATTTATAAAGAAAATTTTATATGTGATGTTTTGAAAAATTGTATTATATATTAAATCGATCAGGTCTCAAATTTAAACCTTCTATCTATTCATGAATGAGACCCATTATCATAGGTTCTAGGCTAGCTTCATACCCTACAAAATTTATGAAATCGACGAATTTATATTTCTAATTGTACTAATAAGTGCTACAAAATTCCCTCAAATTAATATGTGGCGAGAATTAAATTTGGAAAACACAGTTGCATCTCCTACCCCGTGAATCACTCATCGATGAAACAACTTAACATTTAATGGTTAGACTCAAAATTTGACGGATTGTGTGAACGAGGTAGCGATTGAGTGGTAATGCTGATGGTTTTCAGAATGAAACTCCCCCTCATCCACTTCTTTAGTAGCACTTTGTTACAGATTTCTGTAAAAAAAGTAAGATAAATTATGATCGACAGTCTCACGAAAAAATGATTGATAGGGGTTTCTCTTCTTTTACATGATGATTGATAGGGTTTGGTTCGGTAAAGTGCTTCTAAGGTTTCTTTTTTCTCCCTTTGTTTGGGGAGAGATAAGCCGCCAGGTAGAAGGGAAACCGGAAAAAAGGAGTAGGTGGCGTGGAAAAGCTGATGATTGAGCTTTTTTTGTCCACATCATTACTCTACTCCACGACGCTCAAAAAAAAAAAAGAAAAATTACTCTACTCCACATCATCATCGTCTTCTTCTTTAAACTATTATTAACAATAGCCATTCTCCCCTCTTCCTCTTCCTGCAGTTTTGGCTTTGTTGTTTTGCTTCATTAGCAAGGGATATTGGGTAAAAGTCTAGTCCGTGGGCTCCATTTTCTACGTGTATGTCGCGTTACAAAGTGTCAAAGGGCACTTGGAGTATCGCAAAAGGGGAAATGGGGAAAAGGTTAGGAAAGGAATAAGGAAGAGAACAACATCTACACACTGCCCTTAGCTAAGAGCTAGCTGGTTTATACACACTTTTTTTTTTTTGGTTTGGGTTAGAATCAAAGTAGAACCTTGTGCTCACACTTTTCCCTTTCCGACACTGATACCCTCAAAGTTGTGAGTTCTACTAGTACCACTTACTTATTACAAGAGCGATTTCGTTGTTCATTCAGACTTGATTATAATTTTTCTTTTCAATTTAGATGTTTTGTACTTATAAGAAAGGACGACCTCTAGAAGGAAAAGTATGAAGTGTAGACACCACATTTTGTCCGGGCAATTTACTAATTCGAACTACTGATTAAGAGTAGTTGAGTATTCGGTATGTTTTAAATTGACAATAGTCCACTCGTAAACATCTCTATATATGATTAACATTTAGTAAAACTAAGGAATGCTGAGACATCAGAGTTTGTTTTGGACATGGGTCGAGTTGTTAAAATTTGGGCGATTAAACAAATTTAGCGATAGCTAACTCTATTTGCTAAAAATAAAAATTGATTAGTGGATTTGGGACTTAACTTCGAGAACAATTAAAGATAAGGAAATAAGTAATGGTCTTATTAAAATAAATTACAATTTACAAACAACATTACTAAATAAAATTACAAAACTACAAATACAACATTGTTAAGCCAAGTCAATGATAATTATATACAAATAAGATTCAACGATAAAATAAAGTCAACTCTGAAAGTCATACCCAAAATCAATTGTTCTAATTCAATCAAACCGGTTGAACCCAGCCTGAACCAACTCGACCCATACCATCTGAACCAAGCCGGTTCGATCCAACCCAATCTACAACCTACTTACCACTAGAGGGCGGCTCCTACATACCCTCAAAGCCAATTACATGGTGCCACCTCTGCAGTTTTTTACTATAAAAAGAGCCCTTCAGCTCTTGGGAAAAGAGGAGGAAAAAAAACATTCCCTGAACCCTCCTTCTGACAACCGATTCCTTCTGCTCTGCTCCTTCTCCTTCTTCCTCAAAAATTCCAGACAGAAAAGACAGGCCAAAAAACAACTAAAGAACAAAAATTCCACCAACTCTCCTTGTTTTCCCCTGACACCTTCTTCCATCCGTCCTTCCTTCTCCTTCTCCTTCTCCTTCTCCTTCTCCTCTCTTTTCTTTTCTTCTTTTTCCATCTCTTACTCGAAACCAGAACACAAACAGAGGACCAAAAGGCCAAAAGGGACTTAGAGATCCCTCGCCACAAGCATTCCTACCACTACCGCCAATATCAGCAAAAACAGCAAAGGAGGGTCAGAAATATCATCAAACAACAAGTGTAACGGTTGGTACCAAACTAAATTCCAATGATCATCTTTATCATTCATCATCTTAAATCATCTTACTAAGTTATTTTCAAAACCAAAACCAATCAGCCTCAATCAAATTACAACTTTGACCTGTAAACTCCAAAATTAAATCAAGCTCTAATGAACTTCAAGCAAATTACAAGATGGCTAATCCCATCATAATAGGAAAATAAATCAACGAAAAAGATTTAGTTGCTCTCTTTATAAGTTCATCATATTTATGTTCACATATATTTTAGCCTTTGTCATTTACTTCAGTATTTCAATTTAAATGTCTTCTGGTTCTTATCATTCAAGCATATCACGAGTAAAACTATATTTGTTTACTTTCTTTGTCTCATGTTACTTGCTTTCCTTCATTTAGTATACTAAAAAACACATACACCACGCTATCGTCCAAACCATAAGCAATCAAAATCAGTTTTGATATTCACTTTTAACTAACTAAACCCACAAGTTTCCATATCTCTAACATACGACATAAAACCACACATGTATCCATCACCAAAACCCGCATATTTTCACAATCCAGACTTTAAATTTAAAGGATGGTCTCAAAAACCATTTCAGACTCAGTTTGTTAGTTTACAACTCCTGCAAAATTTTAGGTTCAAAAATTGAAACATACCCCAATCTAATCACATTTAACTCATTTTTAATCAATCACCATGAGTACCCTAAATCAAATCCACTAAACACACACCACAAAATTTCAGTTCCAAAACCAAAATAAACTTACCATAGCCGAATTCTCAGAATCAACACCCCCAATATAACCGCCAGACTAGGGCCCAAACAATTTCAAATCTCAAGTATTCAAATCAATCAAGAAATTCGCAAAGCTTCTAAAAATCTCAAGCACTAGCAGGGATTTTTAGGTTACCCACCGAGTTTTTATTACTAAACACAAAATCTGGGTTTTTGAACCACAACACTAAATCAATCAATCCCAAATTCCACATACTATCAAATACCATAAATACACGGAATTTTCCAATACTGAAGCGGAGCATCAGCAAACCAAGCATCGCTTTAAACCCACAATAAAATCAGTTTTCTGGGTTTTAAAATCCCTAACCAGTCTAATTCGAGTTTGGGAAAGATAATACAATAATCCCTTCAGAGCATGAAATCTAACAAAAACAACTAATCATAGTCAAAATCTAAAAAATCAAGAAAACGCCTAAAACTTAGCACGGTTTACCAATTTCAAAAAGCTTACCTCATTTCCGTCGTCCGCCGGCGAAACCTAGATCTGCCGGCAGCGACCATCTTCTACCTTTCGTTCCTCTGCTTCCTTCCCTCACCCATGATTAAAACCCCAAACCTTCAAGAGATAGAACAAAGTCAGATTAGCAATAGACAAAACAAAAATCAAAATCTCAAAACCAAAAACACCCTCAACGCTTACCGTTGGGTTCCACTTTGGTTTTGTCGACACCGGCCAGAGTTACTCCACTCTGTCGCCGGAGGTTTTTTTTTCTCTCCGCACCCTGCAAATTCTGACCGCTAGTCATCCCCGTTTCCTATCATGAACAAAAACCCCCAAAATTCAAATCAAAACAGAAAAGTGAAAACATTCAGAACCCTAAAACCAAAATCAAACCCTTAAAATTCGACATGCAAGTGAGAGAACTTGATCTCACCTTCTTCCACCGTCGCCTACCATCGTCCTGCCCGCTCCGCCGCCGTCCTGGCATTCTTCCATTCTCCTCGGTTTGTTATTAGGAGTGAAGAGATGAGACGTTTCGTTTGTTTCAAGGGTTGAGGTAGAGAGAAGCGACGATTTGGGTCGATTTAGGGGAGCTAGGTTGATTTGTCGTTCTTTGGGAGGTGAGGGACGAACACAAATTGAGAAAGAGAAGGTTCGAGATTGAGAGAGAGGGGAGTTCAGGATTAGGGTTTCTTTCTTCAGATAAGGAAAGGGCGATAGAGAGGGGTGAATAAGGGTGAGCGGCTAGGGTTAGGATTTTCACCATAAAAAACCCCTTAAATACCCAACCCCACTCCTTTAAAACGACCCGAATTGACCCTCAAAACGACCCAGGCGTCGTTTTTATCACCAAAACGACTCGAGAAGTTCAAAATGTCAAACAAAAAATTTAAGTGGCTGCTAGGAATTCGATCGGTTAACCTTAGCGTTGTCACATAACACTAGTCAAGGGCTCAAGGCTTTAACCACTTAAGCCACTGCTTATCTTTCTAACACAATTACATTTCGGTTAAATTTTTACATACGTAATGTACATGTTAAATATATCAGTTCCGTCACTTTTGTTTATCTCGTAGAATTCCATTAAATCCTAGTGCACTATTAATACCTAAACTATAGGAAGGACTTGCTCAATTGCAGAAAAGTTCGTCAACCATATTCATTTCACAAATTTCCTTAA